TTCAAATTGTATTTCTGAAAAATGAAATCATCTGTACAGAACCCCCGTCTGGAATGCTAAGTTGTTGTTGTATGTTTGGAAAAAGAACAAATACAAATATCTATTGTCACATAGCATTAAGAGGAGCCAAAAATTATACATGCCACATAGTGTAAATGTTCAAAAGTGCAGTAAAGCAGCAGGGAAGGACATTAGTGTTGTTAGGCATTGATGGGCCATGTGTGATGTATATTCCTGACATGTACAATGGCTTAATGCTTTAAAATTAGGTACAATCAATATTTGTTAATTCATTGGTAAAAAAATTGTTCAAACAATTAGTGTTCCTGATCGGTTAAAAAGCAGTGAACCACATCACAAATCTGCATGGATAGTTTGCATTACATATAATGAATTGACATGGTCAGTACCAAGTCACTGCTGAAAACAAAATGTTTATAAAATATGGTGTTACATGAGAACTATTTAAATCTAACAAAAATTACCATTAACATTGTTTTTAAAAGCTTTTATATAATTTATTAGAGTGTGGATTGACGTGAATAAATAAGTGAATTACAGATTTTGGGGGCAAACTGAATTGCAAATGTTTTAATTTTGGGTTCTTTAGGTTACAACTTAAGACACTCTGGTCTTCACAATTCAGGGTTTATTCATTAACTAAACTGCAACATCTCGACTAAAACGGTTGATCTGAAAAACTCTCTGTAATTTTTGTTGCAATTGTGCAGTTTGATTTTTATCACAAATTACTTTTATTTTCAGAAATATTAATTTGGTTCACTGTTTTGTTCACATAAAATGGAATCACAAAGTCAAAGGTTTTAATAGATAGAGGTGTTTGAACTTAACTATCTGCAAAGTACTTAGACAGAATAGATCTACAGTTGTGGGTGGTGGTGGTTAGAGAGTTTAACAATTATATTTAGCAGGTGCCTGTGCTAGAGGATAGGGTATGCTGAAATGAAAATCAGAACAATTTATTTTAGATTTTTTGTTTGTGTTCTTAGTTCCCACACCGTTGAAGATATTTTATGCAATCCAAAAATAAATATCCAGTAAAATACTTGGAACAACTCTTTGTATGATTTGTACACTCTTTAATAAAACATACTGAAAACATTTGTAAAATGTATTTCTTAGGGTTGTTCACTAAAATGAAAATTGCTGATAATTCAAAGGAAATTTAAAATTTACAGCAAAAAAAGCCAAACTGCAATCGGTACACTTTTAATTCTAGACACTCCTGACTTTAGTAAATAACTGCCTGCCAAGGTTATTCCCAAAAGTTAGAATTTCTAGGTATGCAAAGTGTATTTGAATCTTAAGTTCAACGTCGCTACTTTGAAAAGCGTAATGGTGATTTTCCCAATTTGGCTAATTTGGCTTAAGTATTGAAATTTGTTTTGGTTTATGAGAAATCCTAATTTAGCGAGCAGCACTGTATGTGTTTAGGTAAAGTTTTAAAAAAGTGTCCTGCTTGATTAGCTTTTCCCTTGCCTATTGTGAGAATAAAAATATGAAGCTCACATCTTTGGCTTTCCCATGAATAATAAATGGAGCTGTCCAATAATGTTTGTGTACAAGAAGAAAACATGGGGTCATATGCATTCCGTTTCTAGATTTGTGGATGATTAAATACATTACTTAAATTAGAGCTGAGCCCCGTATGGGAAAACTGTCATCATTGTTTATAATTATTGAAAATAAAGGATTAAGGGGGAATTCATCAAGGCAAAATAGGTGCTTTTCTGGATGCAAAGTGGTAAATATTCTCTCAATTGTGTGTGCTCCTTATTTAGCATTTGCCCAGAATAGCACTTGATTTAACCTTTGGATGTGTTATTTGCAATTCATGCATATAAGCTATTTACAGTAAATACAATAGAGATTGAAAATTATCTACATAAAGAGTTTGGTTTATAATATTGTGTTCTGTTTTTTAGACATGTAGATGGTTTGTTTAAAAAAAAAAAATACAATAAAAAAACAGAAGAAAGTAATAATTAGCATGTGGGATGATTGTCAGGAATTTTTCTTTTTCCCCAGTAAATGGCAAAATAAAAAAATAAAAAATATATATTTTTTTTTCAGATCAATAGCTTTTTTAAAGTCTTTTTTAGCCTCTATTTCTTTATGACTTTGGAATTGCATATGTAAATATCTGTATTTTCTGCATCAACTGACCTAGCTGTACTTTATATAAGTTGCCATTTTAGTTCTCTTTGATAAAAAAAAAAACACATTCTGAAAAGCTGAAATCAACTAATCAACAGCTTCTTCTCAACCTCTGTAATCTCAGCCTGCTAGATACCACTCTTTCCTGGTGCTCCTCCTACCTCTTCCAGTGTTTCTGTCAGGGTACCTGTTGGTGATGTATCCAGGGAGGACATCCTCTCTGCTTAGGGGCTCCCTTCCCCTAGCATTTCGGCATATTTCGGCCGTTTTCGCGCCGGCCGCGCTAGCTCCTCCCCCTTTTATGACGCGACGGCTAGCGTCGACGTCATGACGTCGGCATTTGCATAAAGTGCCGGGAACCGCTATTCCGGACCTTTTGGGGGCGTGGTCTCTATTTAGGTAACAGGGTATTTAAAGGAAACCTTTACTACTGCTCATTGCCCTGTCGTGGTTCTAGCTTGCTAGTCACTCAGCGCGTTCTTTTCTAGTGTTTCCGGTTTTGACCCTTGCTTGCCTTTTGTCCTGTTGTCCTCTCCTCTCCTTTGACTCGGCTTGTATCTCGCTTACCTGTCCTCCGGCTCCCTTGACCTCGGCTTACCTTTTGACTATTCTTGCTTTGTCCTTACGTTAGTCCGGCCATTCTAAGGTCCGGTATACGTACCTCCTTCTGTGCGCACTCTGCGTATTGGATCCCTGTCAGTTTCCTGACATTACGACAGGGCCATGATGGATCCTGCAGGTGCTAGTCCTCCTGACCCCAGATTTGAGGCCATGGACCATAGAATGGACCAAATGGCTTTAGCGTTACAAACTTTGTTGACACGCTCCAGTACCCAGTCTGAAGAAATACGTTCCACTGCTAGCCACTCGCTAAGTACTGGTTTGGAAGTAGCCACTGTAGGCGCATCTTCCCATGTCACGTCACCATTACGATATGGGGGTTCGCCTGATGCTTGTCGTGGTTTTTTAAACCAGATAAGTATACATTTCGAACTACAACCCCGGGCTTACCCCACTGACAGGGCTAAGGTAGGCTTTATTATAACCCTGCTAATAGATAAAGCACTTAGATGGGCCAATCCCCTTTGGGAGAATGACAATCCTTTAGTCTACAACTACACTGCGTTTGTCACGGCTTTTAGAAGAACCTTTGACCCCCCAGGGAGGAAGATTAATGCGGCCAGATCCCTGTTACGCCTTAAACAACAAGATAGGACCCTTGTAGAATATGCTCTAGAGTTTAGATCATTGGCAGCAGAAGTGAAATGGAACGAACAAGCTTTTATGGATGTTTTCTTGAATGGGTTGTCTGATGAAATTCTAGATGAAATTGCCACAAGAGAACTTCCGGAAAATTTAGAGGATTTAGTATCCTTCATTTCCAGAATAGATGAGCGCATGAGACAGAGGCAGAACACTCGGGAAAGAGTTACTAGACTTCCTGTAAGACTCGCTCCCTCATTTCAGAACCCTGACTCCTATAATCCTACTCCACCAGAACCTATGCAAATAGGTAATACTCACTTATCTGAGGCTGAGAGACAGTACAGAAGAAGGGAGGGTCTCTGTTTATACTGCGGGCTGAGAGGTCACCTACGTCTCAGTTGCCCTAATCGTCCGGGAAACGCTCGCACCTAAGTTCCCTTAGAGGACGGGCCTTGGGTGTTTCATTACTGTCCTCTATGCATAATAAAAAAGACCATAGGCTTCTGATTCCTGTCTCTCTAGCTTGGGAAAAGGGGTTTATTACTACGATGGCATTATTAGATTCTGGAGCAGCAGAAAGCTTTATAGACCAAACTTTTGCTAATAAGCATTGTATCCCATTCCAATTGAGAGATACACCCTTGGCCGTTGAGGCCATAGATGGTAGACCTTTATCTGAACCAGTAATATTCCATGAGACCGAACCCGTTAAGCTTGCTGTTGGTATTTTCCACGAAGAGTTGATTTCCCTTCTGTTAATTTCCTCCCCGGCAGTCCCAGTGGTTCTAGGATATTCTTGGCTCAAGAGACACAACCCTCAGATTGACTGGGAGGGTGGAGAAATCGTTTCTTGGGGTATGGGTTGTAGGAAAGAATGTCTGCAGAGAGTTACTTCTGTTTGCCCCGTGAACTCTTATGCTAACACTTCTCAATCCACAGACGTTCAGATACCATTACAATATCTAGACCTCAAATCTGTATTTGACAAGGGTAAGGCGGATACTTTACCTCCCCACCGGTCTTATGACTGTTCTATTAAACTTTTCCCTGGTACTATGCTTCCCAGGGGTACGGTATACCCTCTATCCACCAAGGAAAACTTAGTTTTAGAGGAATATATCAAGGAGAATTTAGACAAGGGATTTATTAGAAAGTCTTCTTCTCCGGCGGGGGCGGGTTTCTTTTTGTAGAAAAGAAAGACGGTACCTTACGTCCTTGTATAGACTATCGGGGATTGAACAAAATTACTATCAGAAATGCTTACCCTATTCCTTTGATTATTGAACTCTTTGACAGACTAAAGGGGTCGAGTATTTTTACTAAACTTGACTTAAGGGGAGCATATAACTTAGTGCGAATTAAACAAGGAGATGAATGGATGACAGCATTTAATACCCGTTACGGGCATTATGAGTATACCGTAATGCCGTTTGGGCTTTGTAACGCCCGGCCGTCTTCCAAGACTTGATCAATGAAGTTCTTAGAGAATTCCAACATGAATGTGTAATTGTATATTTGGATGATATACTAATCCATTCTAGAGACATTAATTCACATCATAGACAAGTCAGAAAGGTATTACAGAAACTTTTACAACTTGGATTGTATTGTAAATTGGAAAAATGTAGCTTTGACCAGTCTCAGGTAACTTTCTTAGGTTACGTAATTTCCAAAGACGGGTTTATGATGGACCCGACCAAACTAAAATCGATTTTAGATTGGCCTTTACCTAAGGGACTCAAAGCCATACAAAGATTTCTTGGATTTTCTAATTATTACAGACGTTTTATTAAGGGGTACTCCTCTGTTATCGCTCCTATCACTAATATGACCAAACAAGGAGCCGATACCAAAACCTGGTCTACTGAGGCTTTATCTGCTTTCGAAACGCTCAAACAGTCTTTTGCCTCAGCACCTGTATTAGTTCATCCTGATACCTCTCTACCCTTTTTACTTGAAGTTGATGCGTCTGAAACAGGGATAGGCGCAGTGTTATCCCAAAGACAAAGTTTAGATAAGCCGCTGCACCCTTGCGGTTTTTTTTTCAAGAAACTGTCACACACTGAAAGGAGATATGACATTGGTGATAGAGAACTTTTAGCTATCATTATGGCATTAAAGGAATGGAGACATTTGTTAGAGGGCACCGTCCTCCCAGTTACTATCTTGACTGACCACAAAAATTTATCGTATATGGGGGAGGCCAAAAGATTATCTGCCAGGCAGGCACGTTGGTCTATGTTCCTTACACACTTTAATTATGTGCTTACTTACAGGCCTGGTTCTAAGAACACTAAGGCAGACGCTTTGTCACGTCAGCACGAACCTACCACCTCTACAGAGGATACTTTGTTCCCTATTATTCCTGAAGTCAATATTATCGCCAACACCAATGTCAAAATACACTCTCCATTGCTCGCTGATATTCAGAACGAACAATCTCTTGCTCCCGAACGTACTCCTGTGGGCCGCTTGTTCGTGTCTCCCAAATTCCAAGTGGACATTATTCGCTGTTTCCACGATAGCAAGATCGCTGGTCACCCCGGCATCCACAAAACTTACTGCCTGATCTCAAAAGACTTCTGGTGGCCCGGTTTACGTAGGGATGTGGAAGACTTTGTCAAGGCTTGCAATGTTTGTGTCAGGAATAAACTTCCGCGGGATCTCCCTTGTGGTTTATTGCAGCCCTTAGTCGTTCCCAACAAACCTTGGGCTTGCTTGGCTATGGATTTTATTGTTGATCTACCAGCTTCCAATAGGCATACAGTTATACTCACGGTCCTTGACAGGTTTACTAAAATGGCTCATTTCGTTCCCTTGCCTAAACTTCCGTCCTCCCCCGAACTGGCCGTGATATTTGCTAGAGAAATTTTCCGTTTACATGGTATTCCCAATGAGATTGTGTCAGACAGGGGTTCCCAATTTATTTCCCGTTTTTGGAGATCCTTCTGTTCACAGTTGGGCATCAAACTGAATTTTTCTTCGGCCTATCATCCTCAATCTAACGGAGCAGCCGAACGCACTAACCAAAAAATTGAGCAATATCTACGTTGTTTTGTTTCTGAACACCAGGATGACTGGGTCGGTCTGATTCCTTGGGCGGAGTTTGCTCACAACAACCTTGTTTGTGGTTCCACTCATAATAGCCCCTTTTTCTTGAACTATGGCTTTAACCCTACTGTTCTTCCGTCGGTGTCTCCTTCCCAGGGTATACCGTCGGTTGATATTCATATAGCCAACCTGAGAAAGTTGTGGGATCAGACTCGACAAATTCTTGAACGTAGTTCCGCGGTGTTTAAGTCACATGCTGATAGGCGTAGACGTCCTGCTCCTATTTTTTCTCCGGGGGATAGGGTCTGGTTGTGTACCAGACACATTCGCCTGAAAGTTCCTTCCTTGAAGTTTGCTCCTCGCTACATTGGTCCTTACAGGGTACTGAGGAGGATCAACCCGGTTTCTTATTTGCTGGATCTACCTCCTACTCTACGCATCCCTAACTCTTTTCATGTGTCTTTATTGAAACCTCTTGTTTGTAACAGATTTTCCTCCCGCTCTGCTCCTCCATCCTCGGTCCGTGTGGATGGTCAGGAGGAATATATCATCAAGTCCATCCTTGATTCTCGTATTTCTAGGGGGAAGCTGCAATACCTCATAGACTGGAAAGGTTATGGTCCAGAAGAGAGGTCTTGGGTTCCTGGTATAGACGTGCATGCTCCTCGTCTTCTTCGGGCCTTCCACGTTCGTTTTCCTTCTAAGCCAGGTCCCATCCGCCCGGTGGGCGTTTCTAGAAGGGGGGGTACTGTCAGGGTACCTGTTGGTGATGTATCCAGGGAGGACATCCTCTCTGCTTAGGGGCTCCCTTCCCTTAGCATTTCGGCATATTCCGGCCGTTTTCGCGCCGGCCGCGCTAGCTCCTCCCCCTTTTATGACGCGACGGCTAGCGTCGACGTCATGACGTCGGCATTTGCATAAAGTGCCGGGAACCGCTATTCCGGACCTTTTGGGGGCGTGGTCTCTATTTAGGTACAGGGTATTTAAAGGAAACCTTTACTACTGCTCATTGCCCTGTCGTGGTTCTAGCTTGCTAGTCACTCAGCGCGTTCTTTATCTAGTGTTTCCGGTTTTGACCCTTGCTTGCCTTTTGTCCTGTTGTCCTCTCCTCTCCTTTGACTCGGATTGTATCTCGCTTACCTGTCCTCCGGCTCCCTTGACCTCGGCTTACCTTTTGACTATTCTTGCTTTGTCCTTACGTTAGTCCGGCCATTCTAAGGTCCGGTATACGTACCTCCTTCTGTGCGCACTCTGCGTATTGGATCCCTGTCAGTTTCCTGACAGTTTCTTTCTCTGACTCTGCTTCTTCTCCCCAATCACTCTCTGTTAGTGTTCCCCAAGGGTCTGTCCTTGGTCCCCTATTGTTCTCAATCTACACTGTCTCCCTTGGTAAACTCATCAGCTCCTTCTGCTTCCAGTATAATTTCTATGCGGATGAAACGCAAATGTATCTGTCCTCTCCTGACTTCTCCCCACCCCTCTTGACTTGTGTATCTGACTGCCTCTCTGCTATTTCCAACTGGATGGCTGCTCATTTCTTTAAACTGAACCAGTCCTAAACAGAACTTCTGGTCTTCCCTCCCTCAAGTGTTGTAACTCCCCTTGACTTTTCCTCCAAGTCAATATCTACTTCTCAGGCTTGCTGCCTAGGTGTTCTCTTTGACTTTTAACTCTCCTTCACTACTCATGTCCAAGCAATTGCCAAATCCTGCCGCTTCCATCTCAAAAACATTGTGCACATCCGACCCTATTTAATGCCTGATACGGCAAAGGTGTTTGTCCATGCCACTGTCCTCTCTCACCTTGACTACTGTAATCTGCTTCTCAGTGGTCTTACGTGTTCACAACTTGCCCTGTTACAGTCTATTATGAATGAAGTTGCAAAGCTCATCTTCCTGTCCACCCGCATCTCCCATGCCTACCCCCTTTGTCAGTCCCTACATTGGCTTCCCGTAAGATATAGGACTCAAATTAAGATCCTGATGCTTGCTTACAAATCTCTACACAATGCTGCTGTGACCTACTTGTCCTCACTAATACCCAAATATGTCCTGTCTAGGCCTCTACGCTCTGCCGGAGACCTACGTCTAACCTCTGTTTCGTACTCCTACCGCTGATGCTCACCTTAAAGACTTCTCTAGGGCTGCACCATTCCTATGGAAATGCCCTCTCTGTTAGACTTTCACCCAATATTCACTCCTTCATAAAATCTTTGAAAACGTACTTCTTTAGGAAAGCATATCAATTAAACTGTGAACAGCTTTCCCTCCCCGCATCCTGATTCCTCTCCTTCAACTGTCATCAAAACAAAACACTAACCCCTCAATGAATACTACCTTTTGTGCCACTATACCACACTCCCTCTAGCATGTAAGCTCATTGAGCAGGGCCCTCAATCCTTCTGTCCCTGTGCATTTGACTTGTCTGGTTACAAATTTGTGTCTGTTAGTCCACCCATTGTACAGCGCTATGGAATTTGTTGGCGCTTTACAAATATTCATAATAAGGATGATAAGTCAGTGTCTGTTTTTGAGATGCCCATCACTTGCTCAGGACATTTAGATTTGTTTTTGCGCACTTACATTCAGACACCTTTATGGGCTTTGGAAAACTCATGCTTCCTATTTAAGATGATTGCACTCGTGAGGCAAGGTTAAGCCAGGAGAAACACTAATATAACATATTAACCAAAATGTATGTGTAACTGAGCTCCTGGCTGGGTACCTCCGCCCAGGACCGCTTCCTAGCTGGAACAGGGGACAAACCGCAGCACTTCTGCCCACAGTTGCCGTGGCTTGACTGGGGTCCTGGAACCACTCCCTCCTGGAGCTGAATGGGGAACTCTCTATCCACCTCCAAGCACTCAGTCCTGTGAGCTCTAGTCCTTACAAGGACTTTCCCTGTTGAATCCTCCACACTGGAACAGTAATTAGCCCTTTCCCCTCTCAGTAACCAGACGACATATAGTTCTGGGAGTACAAACTGGAATACGTTTAACCTGGCCAGATGGCCTGCTTTTTTCAGTTTCACATACAGTTGAGCACATCCATGACACTCCCACAGAAAACAGAATAAACCCTTCCCATATGCCTGGGAGATAATTGAGTCAGGAACTGTACAAAACTCAATTATCTCCAGGCACAGAAAATACATATTTCACAAACATACCAAAAGTACCTCCAAAACACATGGAAACCCCACAAAAGTGACATCCTTTTGGACCAACATATCCAAAAATCACCCAGATCGGTTCAGGGGTTTGGGATATCAGTGGAAGTCATAATTTGATCGACCGCACACAAACCTCCTGTCCAAAAAAGTTCCATAAAATCATAGCAAGCTGTCAGTCTAGTTCTGTAGTTTAAAACCTATCAAACTACCGAGCATAGTCAATATTCTTACCCTGGAACTTGTTCCCCTTGTTCGTGGAAACATTTCCACCAAACAGTGTCTTCCTAAGTTTTATAAAACCGAACACAGGCGATCATGGAAGTCCAGCGGTTTTCAGAAGTTTCAGTGTCCGAAAATAGTTCCATAAACTCCACGACCAAACACCGCTGCCTGTGTTCATGCAAACAAGATGGCCACCACCTCATGGTCGTCCATGGGAAATGTGGCCACCCAGACGAACGCTTAGAACAGTGCAGGCTTAACAAGCTTCCGGGTGGTCTCCGGTTTGTGCAGCTGTTCGGTTCCCAAACCATATAGTCCAAATACAGGAACTGAGACTTTTCAGTGTATATTACAGACTATTACATAGTCTGTGGGCAGGAGGCTGGCATGCAGGCTCCTCCAGGAGCCCGT